AGGCAGCTATAATACTTTGTTCTGTTGGGCCCAAGAAGACGCCCTTGGCCTGGATCCCGGGTCTCTCTCTCCTCGTGGTGTAGGGTGCGGGCCGGAGGAGCAGTTTGGGAGAAGCAAACTGATTATTCAGCAGCCAGAAACATGTAAGCACATTAACAGGTACAAGTGCTGCTTTTCCAGAGAGGGAGCTCTTAGAATTGTACGGCAACAGAAAAACTATTCTGTCTAAAAAAAATTCGTGTTCTAAAGTGATCTTACACTGAGTTAAAAAAAAAAAACAAAACAACAAGCCTATAATTAGAAGTTGTAAGACATACCTTTGCCCTTCTACACTTGTTATATGTGGCAGGTAAACGTGCGCCACCACGCTGAAATCTGCATAAAGTTAAATTCTCTGAGCATGTGGCATCACTTGTTAAATGGGAGTCAGAGCATTTACCTCACTGAGTTACTGGGAGGCTAGAGAGAAGGTAGTCGGGAAAAGATCTTGCATGTGGCAAGTATTTGAGAAATGGAAGTTTCAGAGGTAAATGAGAAGCTATGTACAGTTCTTTCAACTACACTGATTCTGTCTTTGTCCTTTCTGATTAGCTTTGAACCCGCATAGCCACCCTCCATCATACCTCTAGAGAAAGCCCAGAGCTTGTCTGATGCTTGTGAAAAACAGGCGTGTAGGCTGCAGGGTGTGGCTGTATTGTGGTTTTACTGGCATTCATTATCTTCAGGAGCCCACTGTTTCCACTCTCCTCCAAGACGGCAGACTCAGACCGTGGTGTGTGCAGGACAGAGGGATGCTTCTTGCTAGGCTCCGTGGTCCATGGAGACAGGGAGGACAGGGACCATGCCTGGTGAATGAGTGAGTGTTGAAATGAGTGCACCTGAGGGGTCCTTGTTCTAAATGCCCCACCTCCCGCCCTGGGCCCTACCCTCCAGCCTGCAGAGGGTTCCACCTTGGGACTGCTGAACTTCTAACATGACCCAGGGGTGCTATGGCTGCTTTTTATACCCTTGACCTGCAGACAAGCTCTGACTTAATTTCTCCCTCCAGCCCCTTCTCTCCCAGCTCCTGTTAGTCTTTCACTGTTGCCAGGTGGTTGCTGCCTCTTCTGTTCGTGCATTTTTCATTTTTTTCCTCTTCTTCCCTCCTCTCTTTCCCTCCTGTCACCCCTGCCCTTCTCAGCTTGTGCAGAGAGTGGCTTCATCAGACTGTACTCATCTAGATAGGTATCATCTTCCAAGTTTTGCCATTCCTGGATATGTCTGTCATTGCTTTCAGCTATGGAGGGCTGGTTTTCACTGCTTCCTACTTCAAAAATGAAAATAAATGGTCTCTTCCCTACGGTTGATCACAGTGTTCACTGCACGCAACTGGCTTTTTACAGAAATGATTTTTAAAAATTTGCTTTCCATGTTTTTTCCCAGCCCCACCCTCATTTTATTTGGTAAAGCTTCATTGCATTAATTCGTTCCATCTCAGCGAATATACTGCATCCTTCTCATTTTCTAGTAAATACTCTTCGCTTTGCTTCAGGTCAGTTTCTCTTATCTGATGTTGCCCTAATCATCCCCGCAAGTCGGGGCTCTTTTTCTCCCTAGTCTTTGCCACTGGCCTCCCTTCTGTCTTGCTGACTGTGTCGAAGCTTTTCCTATCACACTTGTTTTAAAGGCAAATTGCATATCCATCAGTTTGTGTGAGGAAAGGTATTAAAAATGAGTGCAATTGATCTATTAGACCAGGGAATTAGAAGAAATGCTGAATGCTATATTTGTAACTTACAGACCCAGGTTTCATTTCTTGATGGGATGGGTATTATGGAGGAGATTCCTGTGATGGGTCAGGGGAGGCCCAATGGTGGCAACATTGCAGCCTTGCCACGCTAAGTTTCCGTGATTCAGTGTCATCAGGCGAGACCATCTCACTCTTTAGTTCGTCACTCATTCATTCACTCATCCAGCTTACTCTGCATCTGCCTCCTTTGGGCATGGTTTTCATTCTTGACCTGGTCATGCTGACCTAGTCTTGAGGAGGGGACATGTGATGTGTTCTCATTTCTCAGCGCAGCTCCTTCCTGCATTCGGGATGCGGGGATGTAAATGACACACTGACCTGTTTACCTTTCCTTTTCCTGAGCTTGGTGCCTCTCTCATACTCTTCTCCTTTGTGGGATGTTCTTCCCTCTCCTTTTTTGTTCAATGTTTCCTTTAGTGATAGGATGAAAAGAGCATATAAAGGGTAGACAGATTTAGTTTGCTCATACTTTTTATGATTTTAATTGTGGATCACCCAAAAGCTTTAAGTCAGTGGTTCTTAATCCTGGCCTCACTTAGGAGTCATCTGGAGAGCTCAAAAAAATCCCAACGATGCCTAGGCTTCACCTGGACTAATTACATCAGTCATTGCTAGGGTGATGACCAGGCAGCCTTATGCTTTGAAAAGCTCCCAGGTGATTCCAGTGACAGCCAGGGTTGAAAAATAAAGATTTTAGGTTTAAACTAAAGGTGAAATTGTGCAATTTCACTCTTCTCTTTTCTTATTGATTTTCTGGTTTAGATGAAAAAAAGTATACAGTGTCACATGTATCACATGTGGAACTTCAAAAGAGAGTGGTATGATTGGGTGGGAGCTCCTAACTAGACCCTTAAACTTTTGTGCAGTTTGGAAGGGTTTGTTACTGGATTGGTGAGATCTGGTGAGAGAGACTGAATGAATGCCTACACATTTGTCGTGGCTTCTAGGAAAATAAAACCTAAAATGCTTTGCTTCTGCTGTCAGGTCGCTTTCTCATGGCTAGTAAAAGTGGTAGTGAGACAGGAGGGAAGGGGGCAGGGCATACCCACTGAAGGAATGACACAGCATTTGAGGACAGGACAAACTAGTTAGAACCAAGATGGCGGAAGACTCGGCTTCCAGTAGACCTTGAACCTCATGGCGCACCCACAGGTGCCGTGACAGTGCCTAGGCTGACCATGAAAGGTCAAAAAATGGGCAGGGGCCCAATTCCTGGAAATCCCTGCTCCTTCCCCCAAATAGTTGGAATAATCCTCCTACTCATGACCGTATGAAATTACCGAGCCCATGAAAACTAACGACCCTGTGCCTCGTGGTCACTCTCTTGCCTTCTGAGTCAGCCCACACTCTGTCTATGGAGTGTGTGTCTACTTTTACTTTAAACTAAACACCCCACACCTCTCGGTCTCTCTCCCTCTCACCTTCTGAGACGGCCCACATTCTGCTTATGGAGTGTGTATCTCCTAAGCTGCTCTCCCTTCCTAGTGAGATGGACCACTGTCTGTGGAATGTGTATCTCTAAATAAACTTGCTTTCACTTTACTGTGCTTCATTCTTGAGTTCTTTTCTGCGGGAGGCAAGAACCTGTTCTTTGGCCACAGTAGCATATGTGTGCCTAGTGTGTGGCCGCATTTTCCACACGTTTAGTTATTTTAATCCATGTATTAACTATGGGAGGTAGTTCTTTTTTGCCCATTTTGCAAATGAAAAACTGATTCAGAAATAGGAAGTAGCTTGCTGGTAGCCACACATCTGGTAAGTGACAGAGATGGGGGTTGGAGAGAGGCTCTGCAGTGCCAGCACTCATGGCTTCTCCGCGGTGCCATGTTGGCCTTTCCCCACTCTGATGTGGATAGAACTCTGGTGTGTGTGAAAGCGTCTTGTTTATTAATTTTGAAAATTCCAAGATCTCTTTTATTTGGTGCATTTTCCCAAAGAGCTCATGGTACTTTTATAGTTTTTAAAGTACTCCCCCACTCCCCCACCATACCCTCTCTAGAGAAGAAGAGGCAGCTATTGTGTTTATTTTAATATTCAGAACAGATGTGCATGGAGAGTAAAAGTTACATACTCTGTTCCAGATTTGGGGAAATCCTGATTGTAACACTTTTCTGGGTACGTGAAGTTGGTACCACTGACGTGCACCAGTAGACCTTTCTGTGTTCTCCCAGGATGGAGATGGCTTAGCTCTGCCTCACCCACATAGCTCCTCTGATTTCCCAGTGAGCAGGGGAGGACTTTGGAGAGGCAGTTGGTTGTGATCAAAAGCAGAGTGTGACCACAGAACAAGATGAAGTGGGAGCTGCCCAGAATCAGGGGCTTAGAGACGCTGCTCCTACCCTAGAGAAGGGACAGCTGAGAGGCTGTTTTGTGGGGTTTTTAAACGTTTCTTTGGGAGGGAGGGGCAGGAAGTAATTAGGTTTATTTGTTTATTTTTAAAGATGGTACTGAGGATTGAACCCAGGACCTCAGACGTGCTAAGCAGGTGCTGTACCACTGAGCTACATCTTCCCCCTGAGAGGCTTCCAGTGTAATGGAAATGGGAGAACTGGGTGGATTAAAACTAATTATTACCATCAAACAACCTATCTCATCTCAGAGACACCTGACATCTTTAGAAAATTAATACCAGCATCCATCTTACTAATTCCCATTTATTTTCAGTGACAGTAAAAGCCACTTTATTGACTTTTTGGGGAGAGGGGTGGTGGAATTGAAAAGACATGTTGCAAATAGCTGGTGTACACTGCTTGAGAGAAATGCACGCACTGTACGGGGTGACCCGCCTTAACATCTAGAGCAGTCATACAGCGTCTGTGAGTTCTGAGTAAAGCATGAGCAGGCAGATTCTCTGGAGACCACCTTCTCACTGTGAGTCTGGACATTCGTGTTAAGCACATATGGTCTTTTTTTCAGGTGATCCCTATCTGGAGCCCAGGGGCTGTCCCCAGAGCAGAAGGGGAGCAAACTGGCAGGTTATTTAGCCATCTTCCTGCTCTAGGGACAGCCAAGAGCAGATTTCTTAGCATTTCTGACACCTGACTATGAATTTCAGGCAGTGGGATATTTTGTAGTATTTCAGTACTTGTGGACACAGGAAATTGAAAAAAGAGTTTGGACAGAAGATTTAAAAAATGCAAAAAGATGGCCATGTAAATGAAGGGTGTGATTGTACTGACTCTCTCACACTTTTCCTCTCGTGTTCACTCAGAAACCTGATGTCTTGACCACCGGGGGCGGCAATCCAGTAGGAGACAAACTCAATGTTATGACAGCAGGGCCCCGCGGGCCCCTCCTGGTTCAGGATGTGGTTTTCACTGATGAAATGGCTCACTTCGACCGGGAGAGAATTCCTGAGAGAGTTGTGCACGCTAAAGGAGCAGGTGAGAACTGTGTTCAGTTGCTGTGAAAGGATTGTTTCATGGCACCTGGGTTAAAAATTATTTCTCAGTGGCTCGGAGCTCCTTTAATAGAAGTGCCAAGTCTCCATTCCTGGGATAGAGGAAAAAAAATGTCCATCAGTAGAGGAATCAGTAATTAAATAATGGTTATTTCCCCAGATTGGACCTTATATGTAAAATACTGTGCTTTATTAAAAGTAGAAGTAATCTTCCATTTGTATTATTTTATAAATGTAGTTTAGTGAAGAAGTAAAAATATGGAAATACAGACACAGACATGCTGTAATTGTAATAGATTTAGATGACGTGTGTAACTGGATAAATACTGGAATGAACTTGGCAAAATCTAGGGTGGTCGTGTTAGGGTGGTGAGTTTGTGGTGATTTTTCCTTTTTGTCCCAAACTGTCAAACTTTAACTTGTTTTTATTACAGAAATAAAAGACTAGGGTGGTGTTTAAAGAAAGCTGAAAACTCAAAAGGAAAAAGAAAGCTTGATAGAAAGGAAGAAAAAGTTTTTGTCTAACCTGCTTACTTGCACTCCCAGTTAGAACTTCTTAATGTCTTCATTTCCTCTTCTTCCATCTTCTCCAGCTTTTTTCCCGTGGCTTTTCCATCGTGACTTTGATATGCTGTTAAGTATGTTGTCTGGCTCTGTGTTGTCCTTCCTAAGTGTTTAATCTTTCTTTCTCTGTGTTTTTTCCTCCTCTCCTCCCCGTTCTTTGTCTTGTAGGTCCTTCAAGTTCTTCTCAGCCCCCATGTCACTGGGGCAGCCTTGACTAGCTCCTTTCGGCCCCATTCATCTCCTCCTCTTGGCTCCAGCTGTGTAGTGCTCAGCTTAGCGCTGAATGATCGTAGGTCTTTGCATTTTGCTCTCATCATTTTGTGTTTGGATGTCCCCCTGTCTACCATCACATTGGAAGCTCCCAGGAGGCTAGTACTAGACCACAGTTTTCTCTCATCACTCAGTTGCCTATTGAGGGCCTGACGGCCTGAGTGACGGTCTTGTAATGAGGATTTCTGTGTCTTTCACGTTAGGGGCTTTTGGCTACTTTGAGGTCACACATGACATTACTAGATACTCGAAGGCGAAGGTGTTTGAGCACATTGGAAAGAGGACGCCCATTGCCGTTCGCTTCTCCACTGTTGGTAAGTCAGTCTGCTTGCATTACTGGTGTTGCTTAACTCAACCCTGTATCTTATCTGGGGCACTTAGAATTTAAGAAAAATTATTAGACAACAGGAAACAAGCACTTCTCCAAATAGTAGCAAGGAGTTACAGTAGAAAAAAATATTTTAAGACATGTAGGAAGTTACTTACAATTCTGTTTGTTGAAGTCTTAGGAAATCACACTTATGCAGAGGTTGCCTCTGCAATTCTGTGACATTTGGAAAGAATTTTTCCTACAAGTGGTTCCCTCCGGCGGAAGCGTGGAGTGGGCATCTTACTCAATAGCCATGGTAACAGCTGCCCTTTATTGAGGTTAGCTCTGTGCCGTCCATGGTTGGTGCCTTACTGACATTATTTCTGACCCACAGATCTACTTTGCAAGGTGGGATTCTTTCTATTTCAGAGAGAGTTAGTGTTTTTTTTTTCTCATGTTACAGAGCTAGTGAGAATTACATCTGTCAGATTAGATCTCAACACACCACAGTGCCTGATGAATTCTGTTTCTGCGTGAGTCTGTATTTGTGCATGTAAAAAATTCTGTGGAAACTATGGTTACCAAAGAGGAAAGGTGGGGGAAGGCTAAATTAGGATTCTGAGATTAACGTATACACATCACTATATATAAAACAGATAAACAACAAGGACCTACTGTATAGCATAGGGGGCTATATTCAATATCTTGTAATAACCTATAATGGAAAAGAATCTGAAAAAGAAAATGTGTATATATATATATGTATAACTGAATCACTTTGTATACACCTGAAACTAACACAATATTATAAATAAACCATACTTCAATAAAAAAATACTGTGGAATGGAAAATAAGTGAAATTAAGAATAAGAACTTATGTTTTGACTTATTTTCTTAATATTAACCTCATAATTTTGACAGCTCGTCTGTTCATTATTCACTACCTCAATCTTCATAATTATTCTCTTCCCCTATTTTAATTTAAATTTGAATTACCTGTTTGAACAAAGCTATCTTATTATGTTAAATGGATAATCTTTTCAGCTGTTTATATATTCTCTAGTTACTCTCCATTAATTCCTTTTTTTTTTTTTTCACTTTTTAGGCTTAGAATTAGCTGGTGGGTGGTAGAAATAATAGCCCAGGTGCTTAACTACCTAATTTACTTCTAGAAAATGAATTGGAAAGGCTAGATCCCAATGTTTCTTTATGACTTCAGGCTTCTTGGATGCAAAGTACTCTGGTGTAGGCTTCATTCTTCCTGTTTAAATCTTCTAGCTGGAGAATCAGGCTCACCTGACACTGTTCGTGACCCTCGTGGGTTTGCAGTGAAATTTTACACGGAGGATGGTAACTGGGATCTTACTGGAAATAACACCCCCATTTTCTTCATCAGGGATGCCATGTTGGTAGGTGATGAAGTATTTTGTACTCTACAGATACTTGTTGATTTAAATTGATTTCAAATATTCTATATAGATTGGTATTTGAGGAGAAGCCCTGGGAAAGGTGGGAAGATGAGAATTTGGTTGGCTGGATTGCCTTTTTTTTTCTTTTTCTTTTTGGTGGGGGGAGGAGATTGCCTTTTTAAACACATTTTTCTGTATTTAAAATCTTTTTATAAGATCAAATAACACCAGTTATCTTGGTCTTAGATTTGGCATTTTAGGATTCACCGACTTAATGGGAGTAATCCAGTCTTCCTTATAGAGCATGGAAGATGAATAAAAACAGGCAATTTGCCCTAGAAACATGTAGCGGGTAAATTTCACTTTAGGATTTTGCAGTTTAAAATTCTAGGATTATATTGCTCAGAATTACAATCCATAAACCTAGTAATAGGCAATGTGTAATATAAGACATTATAATTCCTGTAAACTCAATTTTTGTTTTTTTCTCTCTTTTTCCATTCAGTTTCCATCCTTTATCCACAGCCAAAAGAGGAACCCTCAAACGCACCTAAAGGATCCAGATATGGTCTGGGACTTCTGGAGCCTGCGCCCTGAGTCTCTGCATCAGGTGGGAACACTTCTTTTTTTCCCTGCATTGTATCACCGGATATGGAACTGTTAATTATGCCTCCTAATTTTTTCTCCAGTTTTGGCTATTTTATTACATTGTTTTTTTGACTTTTGAGGGGGAGGTTTTCTCAGATTTCTTGATCCTTGAAGAGTTTTATAATGACTGATTTTTTAAATCTTCCCCCATTCATAGACCTTATGTGATGCTAGAACCATCATCAATTGATATTAAGCAATATTAAGGATTAAAGTCTCTAGTAAGAAGTAAAGCTTTTTGTATTAGGGAAATGAGGAGAAAGTAGTACCAAACAAATTTTCTATTAAATTAGAATTTGAACAACAAGTTAGGCTAGTTTGTTTTAGCTTTTCTTTATAGAATTTTGAGCCATGAGGTTAGTGATTGATATATCATTCTGCTTTAAAATTCTTCTGTTTGTTATTTTTTATAAATGGTAACCCTTCCTATGGGTACTTGGCTAGTACATTCTGTAATTTTCCTGGAAACTTAGGACTGTCTTAAAGATAGAAGATGTTTTGATTTAAACTGAAAATTTTTAGGCTTTATTTTCCTGTTCCTTAGGTTTCCTTCCTGTTCAGTGACCGAGGGATTCCAGACGGTCACAGACACATGAACGGATACGGATCGCATACTTT